ATTACATTGTTGAGTGATTCAATAACTGGGTCATGAGAAAGTATTCTCTAAATTAATGTCAGCAAACTATGACCTATGGATCAAATCTTGCCTGTATGTAACATTTTATTTGAATACAGCTATGCTCATTAATTTACATTTTACCTATGGCTGTTGTGTTGGAATAATGATAGTGTTGAGTAGTTGTGGATCAAATGATCCACAAAGCCTAAAATATTTACTATTATTTATTCTTTTAGGGAAAAGTGCTGACTCCTGCTCTATCTCTTAAGTCTTTTGTAGTCAGATGATGTTAAAGTTCTGGTGGAGATTTATGAGGTTAGTATTTTTGTGTTGTTTCCCATGTGCTCCATTCTAAGTAAGAATAGTTTTTTTAAAAAAATTCATTTTAGGTTGTTAGTGCCCAGCTTTTTTATCCATAAGTAGGTATAATACCACCTATGAGAAATTAATGAGAAATGTAAAGTTCTTAGGCATCCAGAGAGAATTCAAGCAATGGGGAGATGTAATCAGGGAAGTCTAAGTGTTTATTTGGGTGATTTAGGATGGCATGTTTTTAGAGATTCTGATTTTACACAGAGCTGACTATAATGGCCTAGTTTATCCAGGATTTTAATATAACATTGCTTATTAACTTTCCTCCATGTTTTTCTTCCTTCCTCCTTCCCTGCCTTTACCCCTGTCTTTCTTTGTCTTCTCTTTCCTCTCTTCCTCCTGGTCTTCATAACTTCTTCTATCTTTCTTTTTTTTAATCTTTACCTGAGAATACGTTTTTTTAATTTTTTTTTTTTTTTAGAGAGAGAGAGAGAGAGAGAGAGAGAGAGAGAGAGAGAGAGAAAGGGGGGAGAATGAGAGAGAAACATTGATGTAAGAGAGAAACTTCGATCAGTTGTCTCCTGTACATGTCCGCACAGGTGATTGAACCTGTAACCTAGTTAGGTGTCCTGACCGGAATAGACCCCACAACCTTTTGCTGTGCAGTATAATGCTCCAACAAGCTGAGCCACCCAGCCAGGGCTCCTCTCTTTCCTTTTTGATGTATGTAAGCATTGCTATTAAGTTAAGGTCACTGGGTAGCTACTGTAGGGGGAGTATGCAGAGGACCTAACATAGAAGAATCTCCCATATTCTTTTTTTTTTTTCTTTTTTTTTTTCATTAAATCTTTATTGTTCAGATTATTACATTTGTTCCTTTTTTTCCCCCCCATAACTCCCCTCCTCCCAGTTCCCGCCCCACCCTCCGCCCTCACTCCCCACCCACTGTCCTCATCCATAGGTGCACGATTTTTGTCCAGTCTCTTCCCGCATCTCCCACACCCCTTTCCCCCCCAGGAATAGTCAGTCCATTCCCTTTCTATGTCCCTGATTCTATTATAATCACCAGTTCATTCTGTTCATCAGATTATTTATTCACTTGATTCTTAGATTCACTTGTTGATAGATGCATATTTGTTGTTCATAATTTGTATCTTTACCTTTTTCTTCCTCTTCCTCTTCTTAAAGGATACCTTTCAGCATTTCATATAATCCTGGTTTGGTGGTGATGAACTCCTTTAGCTTTTCCTTATCTGTAAAGCTCTTTATCTGACCTTCAATTCTGAGTGATAGCTTTGTTGGATAAAGTAATCTTGGTTGTAGGTTCTTGGTATTCATCACTTTGAATATTTCTTGCCACTCCCTTCTGGCCTGCAAAGTTTCTGTTGAGAAATCAGCTGACAGTCGTATGGGTATTCCCTTGTAGGTAACTGAATTTCTTTCTCTTGCTGTTTTTAAGATTCTCTCTTTATCTTTTGTTCTTGGCATTTTAATTATGATGTGTCTTGGTGTGGGACTCTTTGGATTCCTTTTGTTTGGGGTTCTCCGCGCTTCTTGGACCTGTAAGTCCATTTCTTTCACCAGGTGGGGGAAGTTTTCTGTCATTATTTCTTCAAATAGGTTTTCAATATCTTGCTCTCTCTCATCTTCTGGCACCCCTATAATTCTGATGTTGGTACGCTTGAAGCTGTCCCAGAGGCTCCTTACAGTATCCTCGCATTTTTGGATTCTTTTTTCATTTTGCTTTTCCGGTTGGGTGTTTTTTGCTTCCTCGCATTTCAAATCATTGACTTGATTCTTGCGCTCCTCTGGTCTGCTGTCGGGAGTCTGTATAATATTCGTTATTTCAGTCTGTGTATGCTTAATTTCTAGTTGGTTCCCCAATATAAGATCGAGGGTCTCATTAGTTTTCTTGTAGATCTCATTAAGTTTATCGGCGGCTTCTAAACAGTTCTTGAGAGACCTTAAAAGTGTGGTTCTGAACTCTATATCTTCCATTGACAATTTTGTCCTGTTTCTTTGTCTCCGCATTTTGTTATGCTTCCTTGGTGCACCCCCTAGTGGTCTTTGTTCACAGTCTTATAGTTAAATCTTGATTGTTGTAGCTAATTCCAGGGAGGGTTTGACCTCCAGGCCAAGTGGCTATGAGAATCAGCTGTGTCAGCAGTGAGAGAACTTCTGTCCTCTAGGGAGGTGCTAATCTGGCGTTTGCCTGAGGCTATCCGGCAAATGCCTCAGTGCAGGGCTTGGGCGGGGCAGGTCGAACAGGATCAACAGGGTGGGCCGGAGAGAGCAGTTATGGCGGCTCTCAGTCCTGTCCCCAGGGGCTCTGCCTCTCTGAGTCCCAGCACCCGCTGCAAACCTCGGAGAGAAAGCTGCACTCGCTCTGACCGAAGCCAGACAGTCCCGCTTCTCCCGTTTGAGTCTGGGTCCCTAAAGACTCGCCAGGATCTGGAGCTCAGAGTCTGCGACTCCCTCCCGATTGAAAACGCCAACCGCGCCCTCCGCCGCCAGCCCGCTCCGCACCTCAGAATTTGACTTCAGCACTCCGCCTCCTCTGAGTGTCCGTATGGGTTTCTCTTTCCTCCTAGTTGTAGGACTTCCACTCAGCCAGCGTTCCTGTGGTTCTGGGTGATGTCCCTTCCGTTTTTTGGTTTCACTTCTGAAGTAGTTGTTCAAGGCAGCAAACTCCGGCGTTAACCTATGCCGCCATCTTGGTTCTTCCCTTATTCTTAGTTCCATTCTCTAGGAAGCAGAGGAACCTTAAAATCTTGTAATCTCCTTCACCACCCTCTATTCTTATTAGCAGCCATCTATGTATATTTAAAATTTACTTCTACTACAGCAAATTTTAGGGTAGCTCTTCAGTTTTGCCCTGAACCATGATGCCTAAGGGTTCAATTTAGTCAGGCATGGTTTTCTTCTAGAAGATAGGATAGATTATTCCTAATGTTTTGAAAGAAATTTGAAGATCTAGTGATGATAAAATTGAGCCTACCAGTCTTATATTGCAAACACCTCTTAGTTGTTTTCTTGTTTCATGAAAACATAAACTTAAAAAGCTGTTATTTTACTTAAATTTTATATTCTACCATTCTATTAAAGGTAAGTGTCCTTCCTGTTGTCGCATCTATAATAATAAAAGCATAATAGGCAAATTGACTGAATGGCCAAACAGCCATCCGGAAGACCACGCTATGACACGCACTGGTGCCAGGCCAGCCAAGGCAGGTGCAATGCGATTAGTTGGGGGCCCCGCCATTGCCCCATGATTGCCCTGCAGAGGGAGGCCCAGGCCACTGGCCGGCGGGGTGATCAATCAGGGGGCTCCACAATTGCCCCAAAGAGGGAGGCCCAGGCCACCGACTGCTGGGCTGTGGCGGGTGGGCAGGGCCTCCCTCTGTGGGACACGATCTATCGCCCCAAAGAGGGAGGCCCAGGCTACCTGACTGGTGGTGCTGCTGCAGGTGGGTGGGGCCTCCCTCTGCGGGGCAATGGATCACAGGGCTCTAGACTGTGAGAGGGAGCAGGCCGGGCTGAGGGACACCCCCCATCCCCCTTACAGTGTACGCATTTCATGCACTGGGCCTCTAGTTTATTTTATAAGAAGCTGAGATTTTGGTAGAGGTAGATATTAATTCCTAGTCTTTTAGTCTGTGAGTCACACAGGGACATTGAATGGTTTTCTTAGAACTGCATTTGAGTCAGTATAAAGTTAGGGTTATAAATGTTGAATGTACTTTATTTTGTGTATTTATAGGAACCAGACAGTAAGATTTAAAAAGTGAATTTGTGCCTGGAAATAGCCAGATAATATGGAAGATGAGGATTATTTAATTAAAAAAATTTCTACTTGAGAAGTTAAGAGAGATACAGGGAGAGAGTGAGGAGAATGTAAGTCTTGTTGAAACATAACTCAAAGGCATATAGTTTGCTAGTCCATGAGAAAAACCAGTAATAGATTGATTTAATTTATCAAAGGAGAAAGGAGTGGGGAGAAGAAAAAAAGGCATATTTAGGAATAGTGAATTTTGTTTTCCTTTCTTTGGCTAAGCTGCTGATTAGCTGGCAGCAAGTGAAGAGAACAATTAGGATATTCTACCCTTAGGCAGCTGGATGGGTCATCAAAGAAAACAGTTTTAGTTGTTTATGACTCTCCAGAAGACCTTGAGTGTTTAACTGTGACTTACACCTGTGTCTTTGTATTATGCCTACCACTATCCTCTTTAGCATTTCCATGCCAGATCTGCATCAGAATTTCTCACTTGCTTTAATTATGATCATGTTTCTGTGATTTCTTTTGTAATTTTTGTATTCTTTGGTGTGTTAGATGGCCTTTCCAAAAAGTTAATGCTATATCTTTCCTGGGGTATTGTTGGCCATTTAAATTCCTTTAACATTGTGTGCATGTAATTTGTTAAATTCTTAGATCAGAAAGTCTCAGTCTGTTTGAGACTCTATGGGAAATGTGAGCTATGCAGTGGATTTCTCTGATGAGTTCTCCAGTAAGCCAACAAAATGTATTTATTTGAAGCAATTTATACTCTTTTACCTTACTGTTGCTTTGAAATTCAGGTCATGAATTTGGAATATTTTGTAAATTGCCTTTCTATAGTTAGATTTACTGTTATGTGCTTTATCATTGATGAAGAATGGGAATAATGATAAATTCTGTTTTCTTACAGTCAAAGGAGATTGGTTTGTTAGATGTAGATGTATATGGCCCATCAATTCCAAAGATGATGAATCTGAAAGGAAATCCAGAATTATCACAGAGTAAGTAAAAAGAGATAAATAGTGTGGTAATAGTTACACTTTTATTTATATTTAGTACCTGCTGTGTACTAAATTAAAGTCAGGCATTTTACTATGTACTATGTACACTCAGTGTAGTATAGTAATTCTGAAATCAGATATGGAGCTAGGCTGCCTGGGTTTGAATTCCACCTCTGTCACTTACTGTGTAGGTTTGAAGGTTTGGGTGAATTGTTTTTTGTGGTTTTTTTTTGATGGGTTTTGTTTTCTTTCTTTTTTTAAAATTTTTTATTATAAGTCTTTTCCATAACATTTCTAAGGCAAACATTTTTTCCCCCTTTACTGATTAAGATATTACAAACATGTCCTTATCCCCCCAATGTCCCCTCATACCCCCAATTCTGCCCTCACCCTCAGCCCCTGTTGTCCACATCCATCGCTTATGCTTATATGCATGCATACAAGTCCTTTGGTTGATCTCTCCCCCTCACTCCCAACATCCCCTACCTTCCCTCTGAGTTTTAAGCATCTGATCAATGCTTCTCTGTTTCTACATCTGTTTTTGTTCATCGGTTTATGTTGTTCATTATAATCCACAAATGAGTGAGATCATGTGATATTTATCTTTCTCTGACTGGCTTATTTCACTTAGCATAATGCTCTCCAGTTCCATCCATGCTGTTGCAAATGGTAGGAGTTCCTTCCTTTTTACAGCAGCATAGTATTCCATTGTGTAGATGTACCACAGTTTTCTAATCCACTCATCTGCTGATGGACACTTAGGCTGATTCCAAATCTCAGCTATTGTAAATTGTGCTGCTATGAACATAGGGATGCATATATCCTTTTGGGTGAATTGTTTAGCCTCTTTGTGCCTTAACCCTTGCCTACCCTCCCCATATATAAAATAGGGTTAACAATTGCTGTGAGTAATCACTCAGTTACAAAATTGCTGTAAGTATAATGCATTTAACAGTATGTGGCACATAATAAGTGATCAAAAGTTAGCTCATCACTATTGTCTCTTTATATTAAACTGGAGGCCCAGGGCACGAAATTCGTACATGGAACGGGGAGGGGGGGGAGAGGGAGGTGGTTCCCTCAACCCAGCCTGCATCCTCTCCAATCTGGGACCCCTTGGGGGATGTCCGACTGCCGGTTTCGGCCCAATCTTGGGGATCAGGGCTAAACCGGCAGTCGGATATCCCTCTCACAATCCTGGACAGCTGGCTCCTAATCGCTCACCTGCCTGCCTGCCTGGTTACCCCTAACTGCCTCTGCGTGCTGGCCTGATCGCCCCTAACTGCTCCCCCTGCCGGCCTGATTGCCCTTAACTGCTCCCCTTGCTGGCCTGGTCATCCCTTCATGCCCCATCTGCCAGTCTGGCTGCCCCTACCTGCCCCTCCCTCCCCACCGGCCTGGTCGCCCCTAACTGGCCCCCCCTCCAGCCTGGTCGCCTCTTATTGCCCCTCTGCTGGCCTAGTCACCCCCATCTTTCCCCCCACCCTTGTTGGCCTGGTCGCCCCATGCAGTCTGCTGTTCAGTCATTTGGTCGTCCCTCACTAACCCCCCTGCTGGCCTGGTCGCCCCATGCAGACTGCTGTTCAGTCATTTGGTCGTCCTTCACTAACCCCTCTGCCGGCCTGGTCATAGGCAGCCATTTTGTGAGGGCATGAGGGTTAATTTGCATATTACCTCTTTATTATATAGGCAGATGTGTGGATATATGGGAATATTTGAATAGAAAGTATCTTACCTAATAATAGACAAACATGTAAATTGACTGTACCTTTGTTACACTAACCAGCCAATCAGGAGAGTATGCAAATTAACCCAACAAAGATGGTAGATAATTTGCATATGTAGGCTCCAAGCGGCAGAGTGAAGCCTGATGGCCCCGGGGCCGGAGCAGCGAAGCCTGACAGCTCCGGCGCTGGCTCCAGCTGGAGCATGGCCAGAGCAAAGGCCTGGGTCCTGGGTGCCAGAGGCAAACCAGTGCCAGCAGCCAAGGGAGGGGAAGGCGTATTGCATGAATCTCTTCATGCAACAGGCCTCTAGTATAATATATTTGTGTTAGAAGAGATGAAAATTATTTTCTCTAATCAGATTTTTATCATATTTGTCTTAAAGTGTTTTTAAAAAAACCCCACTCAAAACATTAGTCATCAGTGCCATCAATAGGACAGAGTAATTTTTTTGAGTAAATCTTTAATATTTACTATTTTTGTGATTACATTTTCTTATACTGCTATCAAATATAAAGCTTTAAGAACAAGAAATGCTATAATCAAAAATGAAAAATTGGAATAACTAATAATTTTTCTTGAAAAATGGTTTTAAGTGAAATTAGTTTATTAAATTTTATTTCTAATTATAATGAATATAAAATTGAATACCTTTTTTGTTTCTTTTATTGGGCTTTTTATTTTCCATGGATCTAGAACAAAATTACTGTATTTACTAAAGAGTATTTCCATGTGTTTTTTTTTCTCCTCATTCAAAGTTATAGACATTGTCTACTATTCAAGATGCTTTTATTTGATTTTTAGTTGTTGGAGTCAATTACAATGTTAAATTATGGATAATTATAAGACAATAAGGATTCTTCTTTTTTTAAAATTTATTCTTTATTGATTAAAGTATTCCATATGTCTTCTTTTTCTCCCATTGACCTCTCCCCAACCACTCCCACCCCCCTCCCCCCAGCACGTGTCCTCACCTCCCTATTGTCTGTATTTATTGGTTTTGCTTATCTGCATGCATACAAGTCCTTTGGTTGAACTCTTACCCCCCACCCTCTACCCATCTTCCCCTGCCTTCCCTCTGAGGTTTGATGGTCTGTTAGATGCTTTTCTGTCTCTATTTTTGTTCATCAGTTTCTGTTGTTCATTATATTCTACAAATGAGTGAGATCATGTGATATTTATCTTTCTCCTGGCTTATTTTGCTTAGCATAATGCTCTCCATGTCCATCCATGCTGTTGTGAATGGTAAGAGTTCCTTTTTTTTTTTTAAATATATTTTTTATTGATTAAGATATTACATATGTGTCCTTATCCCCACGTTACCCCCTACCCCCCCCTGGCTCATGCCCTCACCGCCCCCCCCCTTTGTCCGTGTCCATTGGTTAGGCCTATATGCTTGCATATAAGTCCTTTGGTTGATCTTTCCCCCTTACCCCCACCCTCCCCTACCTTCCCTCCAAGGCCCGACAGTCCAATCAATGCCTCTCCATCTCTGGATCAGTTCTTGTTCATCAGTTTATGTTGTTCATTATATTCCACAAATGAGTGAGATCATGTGATATTTATCCGCTCTCCAGTTCCATCCATGCTGTGGCAAATGGTAAGAGTTCCTTTTTCTTCTTCCTCTTCTTAAAGAATACCTTTCAGCATTTCATATAATGCTGGTTTGGTGGTAATGAACTCCTTTAGCTTTTTCTTATCTGTGAAGCTCTTTATCTGACCTTCTATTCTGAATGATAGCTTTGTAGGTTCTTGCTATTCATCACTTTGAATATTTCTTGCCACTCTCTTCTGGCCTGCATGGTTTCTGTTGAGAAATCAGCTGATAGTCGTATGGGTATTCCCTTGTAGGTAACTGACTTTCTTTCTCTTGCTGCTTTTAAGATTCTCTCTTTGTCTTTTGCTCTTGGCATTTTAATTATGATGTGTCTTGGTGTGGTCCTCTTTGGGTTCCTTTTGTTTGGGGTTCTCTGTGCTTCCTGGACTTGTAAGTCTATTTCTTTCACCAGGTAGGGGAAGTTTTCTGTCATTATTTCTTCAAATAGGTTTTCAATATCTTGCTCTCTCTCTTCTTCTGGTATCCCTATAATTCTGATGTTGGTACGCTTGAAGTTGTCCCAGAGGCTCCTTACAGTATCTTCATATTTTTGGAATCTTTTTTCTTTTTTGGTTGGGTATTTTTTGTTTCTTTGTATTTCAAATCTTTGACTTGATTCTTGGGATCCTCTTGTCTGCTGTTGGATCTCTGTATATTATTCTTTATTTCAGTCAGTGTATGCTTAATTTCTAGTTGGTCCTTTTTCATATCCTCGAGGGTCTCACTAGATTTCTTGAGGGTCTCACTAAATTTATCGGCGGTTTCCATAAAATTCTTGAAAAACCTTATAAGCGTGGTTTTGAACTCTATATCCAGTCGTTTGCTTTCCTCCATTTCTGTCATTTGTGACCTGTTTCTTTGTCTCCGCATTTTTTATGCTTCTCTGTGTTGGTAGAGTGATTCTGTGTGCTAGGTGTCCTGTAGGGCCCAGTGGCTCAGCCTCCCCCGTTACCTGAAGTGGACACTCTTGGTGCACCCCCTTGTGGGCTTTGTGCACAGTCTTGTTGTAGTTATGCCTTGATTGTTGTAGGATCACTGGGAGGAGTTGACCTCCAGGCCAATTGACAGTGAGAATCGGCTGTGTCTGCAGTGGGAGAACTTCTGTGCTGAAGACACCCTTCTGGGGCAAGACTTGCTTCAGTGGGGCTTTGGTGCTCACTGAATCCGCTCCCTGGGTGTGTCCCTTATGGATCTGAGGAGTTGTAATCCGGATGGTCCCCCTCTGACCACTGGGTACACTGGCTCTTGGAGGTTACCCAGCAGGAGCTACGAAGAGAACTGCAGATTCCCCTTCCTTTTTTGGAGTTTGGAGGTGCCCTGATGAGGCCCAGCTCTGAAGCAATGCAAGCTGCTGTGGGGCCTTGGGCCTTCTCTTGGAAGTTCTGGGTCTGTGGCCCAGCTGCAGTTTGTTAGATAATTTTCAGGTTGCAAAGGGCCAGGGCATTCATATGCAAAAGCCTCTGCCGCAGCCTGGGTGGGTCGGGGTCTCAGGGAATCAAAGGGTGGAGCAAGGAACTATGGCAGATTCTCAGCCCTGCCCTAAGGGGCTGCGTGCGTCTCAGTGTCCTGATAATTTAATTGCTGCAAGCATCTCTGAGGGAAAGCCGCCCTCGAGTTCCGAGTTCTGCCCGCTGCCAGACAGCCCAGTTTCTCCCCGTATGAGTCCTGGGTCCCCAGAG